TCCGCCGGCGAGTATATCTCTAAGACGTTGCGTGGTGTTCTTGCTGAGCACGGGACTCTCTCTCAATTCTCTTGTCCTGGTGCTCATGCTCAGAATGGTGTGGCTGAGCAAAAGCATCGACATCTTCTTAAGACGGCTCGTGCATTGATGATTGCTGCCTCTCTCCCGCCTCATTTTTGGGCTGAGGCCGTCTCCACATCCACCTATCTTATCAATATACAGCCTTCCGCTGCTCTACAGGGTGGTGTTCCTTTCGAGCGACTTTTTGATCGTTCTCCCGATTATTCGATGCTTCGCTTGTTTGGTTGTGTTTGCTATGTTCTTCTTGCCCCTCGCGAACGCACCAAACTGACCGCTCAGTCTGTTGAGTGTGTCTTCTTAGGCTACAGTGATGAGCATAAGGGCTATCGTTGTTGGGATCCTATTGGTCGTCGGATGCGTATCTCTCGAGATGTGACTTTTGAAGAGTCTCGTCCCTTCTACCCACGCCCATCTTCCTCGACTTTTTCAGTGCAGGATATCTCTTTCCTCACTTTTCCCGACTCACCTATCACCCCCGCCGACACTGTACCTCTCCGTTCCACTTCCTCTCCTTCTCCACATCTAGTTGATTTGCCGCCACCATCCTCCCCGGTCTCCTCGCCTAGCATGTCACCAGGTTCTCCACCTTCATCTCCGGTGACTTCCTCCCCGGTCTCCTCTCCCAGTCTGTCACCGGATTCTACACCTTCATCTCCGGTGACTTCTTCGTCGCCACCCCCTGATTCTACCTTGCCGATTCCTCCTTCTATTATTCCATCTCTTCCTCAGCATTACACTCGTCGTCCACGACCAGTCGATGCCTCTGTGGATGGGCTGTCATCTTCCTCTCAGCCTAATTATGGCTTGCGTTCTCGTCCTCGTCCGCCTGTTGATCGCTTTGGATTTCCCACCGCTGGTGCTGCTGTTCTTGAGCCGACTTCTTACCGTCAGGCTGTTGTTCATCCTGAATGGCAGTTTGCGATGGCAGAGGAGATTGCTGCTCTTGAACGCACTAGTACCTGGGATCTTGTTTCTCTTCCTCCCGGAGTCCGTCCGATCACTTGTAAGTGGGTCTACAAGGTTAAGACTCACTCTGATGGTTCTCTTGAGCGTCACAAAGCTCGTCTTGTGGCTCGTGGTTTTCAGCAGGAGCATGGTCGTGATTATGACGAGACTTTTGCTCCTGTGGCTCATATGACCACTGTTCGTACACTTCTTGTCATTGCCTCTGCACGCCACTGGTCTATATCTCAGCTTAATGTTAAGAATGCCTTTCTTAATGGTGAGCTGCGTGAGGAGGTGTACATGCAGCCACCACCTGGGTATTCTGTTCCTGATGGCATGGTATGTCGTCTTCGTCGCTCTCTCTATGGCCTTAAGCAAGCCCCCCGCGTCTGGTTTGAGCGCTTTGCCTCTGTGATCACTGCTGCTGGTTTTTTAGCAAGTGCTCATGATCCAGCATTGTTTATTCACCTTTCTCCTCGTGGTCGGACTCTTCTTCTTCTTTATGTTGATGACATGATCATCACGGGAGATGACCCCGAGTATATTGCCTTTGTAAAGGCCCGTCTTAGTGAGCAGTTTCTTATGTCTGATCTTGGACCCATTCGCTACTTTCTTGGGATTGAAGTCTCTTCTACCTCTGATGGCTTTTTTATATCCCAGGAAAAGTATATCCAGGATCTTCTTGCTCGTGCTGCTCTTACTGATGAGCGCGTTGTTGAGACTCCTATGGAGCTCAATGTTCACCTCCGTGCTACTGATGGTGATCCTCTCCCTGACCCGACGCGTTATCGTCATCTTGTTGGCAGTCTTGTCTATCTAGCTGTCACTCGTCCGAACATCTCTTATCCGGTTCATATTCTGAGTCAGTTTGTCTCTGCCCCCACCTCGGTTCACTATAGTCATCTCCTTCGTGTTCTTCGATATCTTCGAGGCACGATCTCTCACCGTCTATTCTTTCCTCGCTCCAGTTCTTTACAGCTCCAGGCCTATTTGGATGCTACATGGGCTAGTGATCCTTCCGATCCCGTTCACTTTCTGCTTACTGTGTTTTTCTTGGTGGTTCTCTCATTGCCTGGAAGACGAAGAAACAGCTTGCAGTTTCCCGTTCGAGTGCCGAGGCTGAGTTGCGAGCAATGGCTCTTTTGACGGCAGAGGTGACTTGGTTACGGTGGTTACTTCAGGATTTTGGTGTTTCTGTCACTACACCGACTCTGCTTTTATCTGACAGTACAGGTGCTATCAGCATTGCACGCGATCCTGTGAAGCATGAGCTCACCAAGCATATTGGTGTTGATGCTTTCTATGTGCGCGCTGCTGTGCAGGATCAGGTTATTGCTCTTCAGTATGTGCCTTCCGAGTTACAGTTGGCGGATTTCCTGACGAAGGCTCAGACTAGAGCACAACATGGCTTTTATCTCTCCAAACTCAGTGTTGTTCATCCACCATGAGTTTGAGGGGGGTGTTAGAGTTATAATATAAGTCATGTACCCCTTTTGTATTTATCCCGTTGTATGAGGGGTTTCCTGCATATGTTTCACACCTGTACATGTATATATATATATATCGGCCTATGGCCTCATGGAAATACAAGTTGCTTATTCCTAACAGTATTATGTTTATGAGATGCGATTCAGACAGCCTTTATGCCAATGCTTATGTTCCTTTCACCTGAATGTTGAGTTTTATATTTCTTGCTTTTAAAATTCTATTTCCAAATCATTTACCTAGGAAGAGAAGGAGATGGCGCATCTGTACGATCGCAGGGAGTTCCCGTACCCGGGCGACGAGGAGGCGGTGGAGGAGTTCATAAAGAGCGGGGGCGCCCTGGGCACGACGATCGGGCCCAAGGGGTTCGCGGACGCCAACATGGACTCGGACAACATGCAGAAGCAGCTGCAGTCGAAGAAGTTTGACCAGGAGGCGCGCAAGCTGTGGTTCCGGATGCGCAACGAGGTGGTGCAGGAGCTCCAGGAGAAGGGGTTCGACGTCGAATGATGTGACTCCGTGTTTGTCTGTTTGTTTGTTCTTTCCCCTAAAAGAAAGAAAGAAAGAAAGAAAGAAAGGGTCAAGTAAGTGTTTTGCATTGAGAGGTGAATAATCAATCCCCTGTTGCTGACATCTCGAGACAGCGGTTTAATAATGTTTGAATTTTGTGTCCCCTACTCTGTGCTGATCGCATATTTGATTTGAATTTCCTTTCCACATACACCAGCTACATCACCCATTTATTTTCTTCTTGGAATTGTTATGGCTTCCGTTGGGATGAAGGGGAAGTGGTGGTTAGGAATTGGGTTGGCAGGGCTTGAGTTGGCAAATTGATTAGTGATGGGGACTAACCATTAACTAACCTGCTACTACTACTAATACTAGGTGTGTGTATGCGAGGTTAGGTGGAGGAGCAGATCGGACGGCCACCGTTCGTCTGATCTGCACAAAAACACGTTTGGAGCGCACATGCATGCTTGCCGCCTGTTTTTTCTCTACAGGAATTTTGATTATTCACCTTGTTTTTGCGCGGAGTTTTGACCTCTCACGTTTTCCTTTTCGAGGCAAAATTTTGATTTCTCACGTTTTTTTGAGGGGTGTTTTGATGATTTCTCACGTGGCCGGCCGGTCGTCGCACGGGCTGGGCCTACAAGCCCATCGTCGATGTCGACTGGGCCGTCCCGGATCGCCGTTAGTACTTATACTCACTACTAATTAACCCGGCTGCAACTTCAACCCGCCTCAAATATAGATCATCCGCCAGTGGTCGTGAAAGACCTACAGAAGGACAATCTTGCGAGCTACGGTGCAATTGTACATGAAATAATAGCTCCCTCTTTAATTTTTAAGTTTTGTAATTTTAAACATGAGTTTAGGAGCTTCAATTATGAAGCTCACAACTTAGCGAGGCATGCTTTATCTCTCGGTGGTGGCCGTCATGTCTGGTTAGGCCATCCCGGAACCTATCTTCGGTCCTTATAAATATTGTAACGAATTAATAAAGCCTCGCGACGTTGCCTAAAAAAACTAATTAACCCGGCTTGACCAAAGTCAGAAACAATTAATAACTCGCAGGCAGCGAGAGGGTTCATACTCTCCTTGTCATCTTCTTCCTCCCCACTTGTTCCCCGAAGCATCTCGTCCCCTCCCCTCTCCTTCTCTCGCACCGCCGGGCCGGAGGGAGGCGCCTCGCCGTCTCCTCGCCGCCCGTAAGCAGTCCCACCCTCCCCCCTGATCCGCCCCGCTCGCCTCCCCGCGGCCCGGGTCTCCGCGCTTGGGCCGGCCAGATCGCGCCCCCCGATTCGGATCTGCCGCCCGATTCCTCGTCCCGGCTCGCCGAGCGCCTCCTTGCCCTAGGTCTTTCCTGTGCCGCTGCCGCTGACGGTTTAGTCTAGCCTAGGTGTCTTCGTCGGAGTCGGTGCTCCGGTCCGGTCCTGCCTCCGCGTGCTGGCGGGTGGCCGAGCTCCAGATCTCGTAGGTGGCGTGTCCCTGCCCAAAAGGGGTAAAGGGGAGGGTTGGGGATGTTTTTGTTTTCTCCAATGCATCGAGTAGATTCAAGTTGCCATTTCTGCAGTTCCGCTAGTCGCTCTCATTCATTCCTTGTTTGAGCAGCCTTATTGTGACATACCTGGTTGCTTATTTGCTGTCACGAATTTACACATAAATCTGACTTGTAAACCTCTACCTGCGGATAGATTTGTCAGGGATTCCATCCTTGCTTGAGAAGATAGCGCCGCATCTGCCTAGTCTTGCTTTGGTAATCCTGTGCCTGTACATTGATAGATTTGTCAGCGATTCGATCCTTGCTTGGGAATATAGCTGCACATCTGGCTAGTCTTGCTGTTACCGCACGTCTGGCCGTCGAAATACGCTGCAATTTTACAAGCTGTTGGTTGCTCTGCGTTGTTGAGTTGCTGATGACCATAACCATTTGATCCGTTGCAGCTCGTCGTTGGTGGTTCCTGGCGCGTGAGTGACGCCCAGCCGGCATGGCGGCCAACGTGGGGGAGTCCACGAGCGGGAGCAGCAGCGTGGCCGGCGACGGCGGGGGCAGCTTCGAGTGCAACATATGCTTCGAGCTGCCGCAGGAGCCCATCGTCACGCTCTGCGGCCACCTCTTCTGCTGGCCCTGCCTCTACAAGTGGCTGCACATCCACTCGCACTCCCCCGAGTGCCCCGTCTGCAAGGCCGTCGTCGAGGAGGACAAGCTCGTCCCGCTCTATGGCCGCGGCAAGGACCGCGTCGACCCCAGGTCCAAGGGCGTGCCGTCCGGGGCCGAGATCCCCAACCGGCCGACCGGGCAGCGGCCTGCCACCGCCCCGCAGGCCGACCCCAACAACCACTTCCCCAACGCCAACCCTAACCCCTGGTTCATGGGTGGAGGGGGCGTCCCTTTGGCCAACGCGCGGTGGGGGAACTACACCTTCTCGGCCGCGTTTGGCGGCCTGTTCCCGCTGCTGAGCTTCCAGGTGCATGGATTCCCGGACGCGACCGCGTACGGGCAGCCTGCCGGGTTTCCCTATGGGTACGGACATGGCCACGGCCACGGCCACGGGCATGCTTTCCATGGTGGGAACGCCCACGCCGCCGGCCCCCGGCACGCGCCGCCCGGGCAGCAGCAGCAGCAGGCGGACGTGTACCTCAAGGCGCTGCTCATCCTGGTCGGCTTCCTCGTGATCGCAAGCCTCATCACATTCTAGGTTTGTCGGCTCCCACTATTGTCATTTGTCACCGTCATAATAAGAGAAACGATTGTCGTGATACTTGTCAGATGTTGTGTGCATTACCTTGGCCCCCCATACAAAGCCCTGGTCTAGATCTGAGTGGTGCGTTTTGAGCGAAAGTGTTCATAGAACTCCTGTATATATGTGCTATTTAGACGCGGTCCTGTGGGGGGCGCCTGTGTACCGTAGTGGTTTCGCGCTGATTCGCGAGTGATTTGGAAACCTCTGTTTGGGGTGGATGTACCAGACCAATTATATATCATGTGTAATTTTGATTCGACTGTCCAACTGAGTGGGGTGTAAGCATTTTCCAGTCTTGAAACTTGTGAGCCCATCACCTGTTTTGCACTGCCTGGGATGCTTGATAGATAGATGTGGCCTGCTCGGCGTCACTTGTGTGATGTTTTGGAAGGGTAGGCCATCTGGGTATGTGGGAGACCTCTGGAGTAGCCTGGTCCAGCATCAGGAGAAACTCTTCTTGTTTTCAGCCAACAACCTCCTGGACAAATTTGAAGTTCACGGAGGGAGGCTATTGCGTGCTTGGCCGTCATCAATAATACAGAATAGCAGTAAAGGTGCCGGTAACTTTTCATGGCCCCGTCTGCTAGACCTGCGACTGGGATGGTTAAAAATGGAGTGTACGGATGGCCTCCAACTCAAATCTTTACTTTTACTAGTAGAATGCCCGTGCGTTGCTACGGGCACAAGAGAAATATAGATGAGTCCAAGAGCATAAGTTGTGGCCATCTTTTATCTGCTCCACGAAGATGTTGTCCCTCAACTTTTCTACATATATAGGTAATATATACTTTTAGATATATACCAAGATTGTAGGAAGACATAAGGTAACATTTCATATCTCGTTCCTTTCCATTTCCTCCTTAATTCACCATCGAAACAAGACGTGACATCATGTTCATTCTCCCACAAAAAAAATAAAAAAAATGTTCATTCTCCCTAGTTGCCTCCTATTTTCTGACAAACCTTGGACCTCACCTTCGACCTTGCTATCACATAGTCATATCTCTTCTCTTTCATTGTTCATATCCTTTCTATCAACGGATGATAGTGCATTACATTTAGTTGAAATATATTGCCCATCTCTCTTCATTAGTTCAAACTTTTGAAAGTTGGCTGAAGCATGAATCAATATGGTATCCAAGCCAAGAGGTCTTTTGAGTTCAAAACCCTGCCAACGCAGTATTAAAATAAAAGATCCTACGGTCTACATCGATCACACATCTAAGCACTAAATAAGCCTAAACGTGAGGGGGTGTTAAAATATATTGTCCATCTCGCTTCATCAGTTAAGATTTTTGGATGAGTTGGCTGGAGCATGAATTCAATAAACACCTCACGTTAATATTCTCTCAGTATCTTGGAGGTGCTCATATGGATAGAGTGTGCATGCATGCGCATAAGGATGAGTGTGTGTACGTGTTTGTAAACATCGGCATTTGTACTGTGTGTGTTTTAACTTCAGAATACACAAGAATTATATCACAAGCACAAGGGTCAAGATATAACAACATGATGGTTTTCAAATTAAGGAGTTCTGTGAATATACATTTCTTGCCAAAGGAAACAGGAATATACATAGCAACTGGTGAATAAAGTCATATGGAGGATATAGTGCACCCCCTCCTCCCATGTAAAATTCAACATGTTAATTGCTTTGCATCCATTTTATAAACCAAGCCTTGCTTTAGTTGATGCCACCTAACAAGAGAATAGGCAAACATATGTACATGATTACACAATACATTAATTTCAGTGGTATTTTTTAATATGTTCGATGCTAGGCTAGCATATTATCAGATCAACAAACAAAACTTCAACATTCATTCAGAAACTCGGGTAGGTGGTCTAAATATTTTACCAACTTCAACAAGATGGAAAACAAATAGCAAGATGCACAATACAAAAGTGTCTCTTACCATGACAACACCCAATATAAATTAAAAATACGAAAAAGTTGTTACAGTAGTACTATTACTTACAACAAGAATTGTATGTTTCCTAAGCAAACTGCAACTTTTCTGGAATAAATGTTTCTTGACATTCAATGTTCATTTTAGAATCCACATAAAGTGTTGTGGAATAATTGTTTCTTGAAAGTCAACTTTCTGTATAGTGTAATTTCTTATGCATGAGAGATAAATAATGCACAAAATATAGAACCATAAGATAGCTAGAAGCCTGCTACTGTAAATTGGTGAAACTATGAGCCAGCAACATAATAACATGGAAAGCAAGTATGAGAAATATGAAACTGCTATTCCTCTGTACAAAGCCAATACGAATTCCAGCCCATGCTATTAGTGAATCCTGTTGACCACGAAGAAGCTAAATGAAAAAATACTACTTTTTATATAATAGAAAATAGACCGCAAAAAGACACTGTTGCACATGATACAAGGTGCATGTAAGGCAAGAAATCCACCAAAAATTGAAATAACAAAGAAAAGCAAAAAAAAAGTTGAGAAGGTTGAACCTAATGCTAGCACCATGGTAATAAACCCATGTCTACAAAGGAACATTAGCATTCAAATGTGAGAGCTCAGTAGCTTGTCATGTCTATATTTTGTTGCACTTGTATCTGATTTGAAATTTAAAGAATTATGATGAGAAACTCACGTAGAACTGCAGTATAATCTTTTGAATAAACATTGTCAATTGTCTAAGAGTGCTAACATTTAAACTCATTCAAAATGTTGGCAAATGGAATGAGAAATGTAATACCCGATATAATACATTATAAGGCTACAACAAGTCCCCTCCAATTTTTAGGAAGCTCTCCACTATATGTGTAGCAATGAACCAGCCTCAAAACCCATTATAGACTGCCAGATAGATATTTGTTTCTTCAATTTCTAGCAAACATATAAAATATTGATTGAGAGGCACTCCTGCTTACTACACAGTGATTTATAACATCAAAGTGCAGGAACAAACTTGATTTTGTTGAACAGATAAAATCACCTTGTTCTTCTTCACCAAAGTCTTTCCCAAGATTTTTCATCTAGTCTTCTTTCCCATATATATTTTTTCTTCAGAAAGGAGGCCTACCTAGGCTTCTTTCCCATATCTGCACAAGTCATGCTTAGAGCTGGTCCTTGTGAAGCACTAACCTACCTTGGCTCAACGCCAATGTGCATCAGCCTATCAAAAGCATAGGTGTAAGAATCATCCATGTACTCTGCACAAACAAGGGAAAAATCGTATGAGCTTTGATGCTTCACTATATTATAGTTGAGCAGAAGAGATAAACGGGCAGAAGTCTGGATGTATAGTAGTGGGGAAGCTGAGGTTACCTGGATTACCGATCAAAGGTGCCTTCCATTTGCCCTTGTGGTTTAGGTTCCTAAATTTTTGTATGCACAAAAACTTATGCCAGAAGTTGGACGCCCGAGGTATCCTATGCCATTTGGGGCGATGGAATTTCGAGTAACTGCTTGTTGAATTGATGATATTGCTGCTTGTTGAATTGATGATATTGCTGGGCATTGAATTAACTGAATCAGAGTGACTTCTAAAGATAGGGCACGATAGAATCACAAAGCATAGAAAAAGTAGATAAGTTTGTGTGAGATACTCAGTCAATAATTTAGAAGCTTCTACATTACTAAAAAATGCACTACATAGATATTATAGTTGTATCCACTATTCTCTTAACGGGCATAAATTGTAGCAAACTAAGCAAACATAATCCGCCTGTAATACTTAACCAGTGTCCAACATCCTTGAGTAACAAAACCAAGTATTAATGTTGATCACTTACAAAAGAAATGGGCTACAATCACAAGATAAATGACATGGAAAAGGTCAACCGAACCTTTAAAAGTGGGAACTGTAGCGTCAGTCCAATTCCGCTGCCATGGCACCATTTTTTGCTGCACCTAGTGCCACCCAAAGTTTGTCCTAATATTCTATTGCTAGTATATAAGTTCTAAAGTATTTTACTAACAAACAAAAAGGTGGGAAAAATGTGAATCTGCAAATTACGAGGACAAAATAAAATCAAAAGTCCAAACGGGTGTGTTAAGATCAGTTTATACATGCAGCCAAATGTTACAAAGCTAGCTTACATGATTTCAATCCACCAGAATCGAAAAGATGCACAAAATGTCGGGAAACGAATTACAAAAACTACCATTTTAAAGAACAAAAGGTAAACGTAGTCCAGCCTTTCAGTGAATACTGAAGCGGAAAATAGAAATATTTATGAATCTCCAGAACAAACAAAATAACACAGAGTGGAAGCTTAGAAAGATATAGTAATGCCTCGCCAGCGTCACCTTCAAAGTTGCATATGTTACACCCAGACACACATAATGACACAAAAGAATTATGCTGGAATTTAATGTTCGGGCTAGAAGTAATTTGTTTCCATTTTATTGTACCCAGATTCTGTTGGTTACTTTTCCTACTGAATTTATCCTGCATATAAATAAGGGTTACTGAATCGTTGGAACCTAATCATTGTTGGTACCAAATTTTTGAACCATACTCCTAAAACAAGTAGTACCGATTGTTCCGCATAATGCATATAAGGTGTGTCAGTTTATATCCGTGGCTCCCTGCTCCAAGTACCCCGCCGGTGAATCTTATGGCCGAAAGGCGACCGTGTGAAGCGATGGCGTCTGGTCGTAGGCGTCTGCTCATGTTTCTATCCATATAAATGTCAAAATGTCAAACCAGATGTGTGTGCTAGAAGATTGTTCCTAATTTAATATAAATGGATAATTTTTTACTGTTGCCCTTTATATCTTGAAGACCAGTCAGTCTAGTTTTCCCTAGGTTCTGAAATCGCTGCATGGGCCCTCAACTTCTTCAGGTTCGGCTCTTGTGCAGATACAGTTAGCCTTTGCACTACAAATTTATTAGCAAAACATATGTTTCCTACATAGAACATAAAGCTAGCCAATCTCACCGAGAAATCATAGTGCCCTGCCTGAAGTTCCTGAAGCTCCTGTATGCCAAAGATGTAACTCCGTTGTTGTCTGAGCTTCCACTGGGCAATGTGTAGACAACTCTAAGCTTCATTTCCTCAATCATCATATCAGCATCCTTGTTGAACTGAAGAATACACATATATATATGGAATATAGTTGGTGGAATGCTAATCATCCAGAGCCTGATGACATTGACAACACAACACTAAATCATAGAAACCGGTGAAATTCCATAAATATCTTGAAGAAAGATCGATTCATAAACTTAGGTGGATGGAATAGAACACATATGTGTGTGCTCGTTTCATACTGCTGGGTGGACGGGATAAAATCGCCATGGACACTCTCTCATTGGACAGCATCTCTACTGAATAGGGAATAATTATCTCTATCAATAAGCAAAAGCAAACAACTGAAACAAGATAACTATATCACTTCAGTCCTTACATTGAGACGCCAATTTGATCGCAGAAGACCATCTGTAAAAATGCAGAACAACATGGGCCTTGGCCTCAATTCGGCGACCCAACTTCAATTTTGAAAGCCTGCAAGCAAGCGAGAGATAGGAGTGAGCACAGTAATCTGAAATCAAATGAGAGAGTGTCAGCATTGTCGTCGTGCTCCCCTGCTCAGGCCATCTCGGTGCAGCCACATCCCGTTCAGAAAATGTTCGATAAATGACTTGAATTTATTATATATGCCTTCATGTAATCACCAATTTTCGTTATAAAATAATAGATTGACTTGGGATTTCCAAACATGTTGGTGTCAAATGTATATTTACTCACTTAACATTGAACTATACAATATTGTGTATAGGATATACTGTACTCAGGCATGTAAATACAATAACTTTGTCATGCATCATTCATACGAAGCTCATTCTCACTTTTCTCATTCATACGAAGCTCATTTGTTCTCCTTCTTTATTTGTATCAGAATTTCTGAATTTAATGATGTTGTCAGTTCTGACCAATTTGTTCAATGCACATACACATTTAATCAACCATCACCATCACCATGAGCCATGATGCCAATGTCCTTACCTTTGTTGCTTGCAAGAATGCATACTAAAACATGGGGCAAAATCGTAGCTCTAATCATGGCAGTCCTTGTTAGTTGTCGTTAATCTACATCTCATAGAAATATTATTTGCTGAAGACAATCTCAACATACAAACCTGAAGAGTTTTATTAAAACTCAGCTAGATGCCTTTCCCAAAATAGTACTCAATTCATCCCAAAATAAGTATCGCTGGTTGAGTCCAACTTTAGTATTTTGAGATGGATGGAGTAGTATTTTATACGAAGATAATTATATAGGTTCCACACTTAGAAAGATTGGTAGGCATAAATATGAGTACTATCCATGGAAGTCATATTCAGTACTTCGATGGAGAATATCAGTATCATCTTTAGAAGAATTTAGCACCATGTCTAATTTAATTACACGGACACCTATTTGCAGAGCCATGGTGATGGGAACGTCACTGCAGTCACTGATTAGCTGATTGCTAGTAAAATATGAGTAATGCGGTGTAACGAAATAGTGGGACAACGGTGCATTCATGTCATGGCGGACCTGGTAACATGAGATTTACATCAAAATTCAGAGCAAAGCTTGTAACAGCAGATTGTTCCTAGGAAAATAAATAAACAAATAGAGCAAATAACTAAATTCAAACCAGGTACCATTTCAGTAAACTCTGCAAAATGATCCTACAAAGCATTGCAGCAAATTTGTTGAGCTACCTCAAGGAATCTAAAAATGCCAAGACCGGAAGATCGACACTTACTATATCAGGCGCTTCCTTATCATCTCATCCATGATAATCTGAACAACCGAGCTTCAGAAGTTCATAAGTATCTGCTAGATCGCTCAATCCTGTATTCCTGTTGTAGGGCAAAATCAACAGTTAATTGCATTAAGGTTTCAGATACAATAGATAGATACGTAAGATGCATCATTATGGTGTACATAGATGAAGCATTATAAGATGATGACATTGTTCGTACCAGATAGTTCCCATCGCTTTCACAGTTTCCCATCTCTATCCACGTTTCTATGCATTTTGGATCATCATCTGTAGAAAACGAAGTCTTGAATATCAGTTTTTTTGCCACCACACGGTACTTCCTAAAATTAGGTGGTTGCTTACTGTCAACAAAACAAGATTTTATGTTAGAAATAATAAGGGCATGTACTGTTTAATACAGATTCTGCGCAGTCAGACTTCTAATCCTATTGGTGACTATAGACAAAGATAAGATATGAGGTAAACAACTAAATATACACCCTTGGGAACATACACGAAAGAGATTCAGGATTGTGTTTCCAGTAACGGTATACCTCTGGCCATCGTGTTTCTAGTACCGGTGTGTGCCTCTGGCCATCGACACGAAGAGGTGCAGGAAGCGGAGGGCCTCGACATCAAGCCCCAGCCCGTCAACGTCACGACGCTCGGCGAGCAGGCACATATGCGTTCACGCGTCCTCGCCTCCCTGCCGCGGTCGAGCGTCGCCAAACGGCCCCACACAAGCTTTGACTCCATGAATTACATGCTCCTCTTCCCGTGACGAGCGCCGCCTGCCTGTCCCCTAGATCCAGCCTCGACGTGACAACGTCGAGCGTCACCGCCTCCGATTCCTACGAGCACGAAGCCGAGGGCTCCAGGAAGAGGCCAGAAGAGGATAGGTGTAGCGGAAGAAAACCTGAGCGAGCTGTGGGAGGGAGGAGGGGAGAAGGGACCACGATCTCGCTCGGGCAAGGAAAGCGATAATTGGGGAAGGATATATTCTGTAGTTATTGCGAGGATCGTGCGAGAGGATTTCTTGGGCTACGTAAAAGTGTGTGGGAGGGAGCGAAGGTGGAGCTAAGTATGGAAAGAGATCTGTGGCTTCGACGGTTGTGTTTTTTTCCGAGCGAAGCTAAGTATGGAAGGAAATCGGTGGGAGAAATAAATCGGAGAGGGAGGTGATTTGTTTGGAAGGTGATCTCCTGTATATGGTATTATTTCAGAATTCTTAATTACCAAATATTTACATGATTGAATTAAATCGACACCTGCCAAAGCAAGCACGAATAAATGGAAGGAGTATCAGACACGATTCGGTTTCAAGTGTGAATAAGAAAAAATTAATGTGGGAGTGGTGGTGGAAGGTGAGACGAAAATAAACCGGACGAAAAAAAACCAGACGAAAGTGGGGGGACTATTCAACCAACTCGTCCATTAGGAGTAGAGAAATATTGTAAGTCCCCTTTGGATTTCATATAAAGAAATCATTTGGTCTCTTGCAACCCTCCAACTAAACAGAACGAATCCCATGTTTTTTTTGGCAAGTATAATATAAAAGAGCTTTATTGCTTACTTAAGCAGGCGTACAATCACGATACAACGTGTTCATCAGGAAAACTGGAGTGTAATTCCACCATAAACACCTCCTCCTAACACTCGTCGCCTGCCTCGCTCGCACATAAATGAGCCGCTTCATCAGCTTCTCTTTGTCCGAATTTCAGCTTAAAACTCTGAAAATGAGCCGCTTCATTAGCTTC